AATCTTGGTTATAAAACCCGTCATCTTGGGTTAGATCAGGGGTCAGGAGTGCGATGGGATCTACTTGAATCACAATTAATAAACAATTCACACGAACCTTCTCCCTGCAAATATCTGTGAACATTCGTTCTGTGTGAATAATGGCAAAAAGAAACATTTAATATATATTTTCCTTGCAGGCCGAATGTATTGTAGAGTAATACCGCAGGGTGGCCACCAGATGGCGCCGAGGAGCATAGGAATTTTGCTCCACCAGCAAAGATGCTCCTCGGCTCCATCTGGTGGCCATCCAGCGGTATTACAAGACACTACATGCAACCTGCAATGAAAATATATTGGGAATGTTCCTTTTTGCCATTATTCACACAAAATGAATGTTCACAGATATTGAGTGAAATTGTCTATAAACAGACCCCTATGTGTTGCTGCATGGCCGATCATCAGCAGGCCCCAACTTTAAAGAAGATACCATTGTGAATAGGATTTCATTTAGAGATCAAATCAAAAAAGCGTTGCGCTGGGATCACGTCACATGACAGCGATGACCACCGAGATGGCGAGCGCTCAGTACCTCCTGCTCTTTGGCTGGCTTGCTGATCCCCTTCAGAGAGGCAAAGACGGACAGGTTCTCTTCTACAGTGAGGTCCTCGAAGTGAATGTCGCTTTGCTGGCAGACTCCGATCACCTTCCTGATGTCCAGAATCTCATCGATGTCGGTCACTCTGTGTCCATAGATAGTTAGCGATGATTAGGATTCAGATCATTTCATCTACAAACCATCATTATAAAGTGTTACGGTGACGGCCTCTAGACGAGACTCTACAGACTCCGAGAGGACCAAAAGCAGGTCATTCTGCTATACAACTGCCGCCATCTTGGAAGCTCAGCATGTTGGCTCCCCTTCTCCTGCCTGTCACACCTTATAACCCGACCTGAAGGATGTGCTCACTGACCCTCAGCAAGGCCCACGTGAATGAAGTTCATCTCTTCAGGGAAGCCGATCCCACCTCAACCTAACCGCTCAACCATCACATTTGCAGTGCACCAGAACGCAGGCAAGGGCTGTGGTGCCATTGACTTCAATGCACCTCCACGGCCCCTCCCGCCCCAGAATGAAGGGGGAAGTTTGTGTGATTGCTGTGCGTTCCAGCAGCTACCGCCCTGGAACGCACCGGCAGTTGGTGTGAACAAGCCCTTAACCTAACTGATGCAATGAATTCACAATGTTGCAATGTTAAATGCAATACAATATATCCCCCAAACCCAATACAACCCAATACATTCACAAACGCCTATATTAAATACGACACATTGAATCCAGATAGAGATGACCAATTGTACTAAAGTCATGTATTCTCCCCAATACCTGCTGCCCCCTCCCCCCCCCCCATTATTTTTCATTTTAAATGTCCCAAATGACACTGACATATACTGTAGTGTGTAGAATAAATCCTTATAGGATAGCGCTATGATACACTGCAATCCAATGCAGATCAGAGGCTGCACTTGTCTCTCCCCCGGGGGATGGGGGGTGGGGGTGGGAGCTCATTAACATGCACGGAAGCTCTGCGTGTATAGTTACCGCTTGCAGAGAACTGGTGTTTGGCTCGGAGAGGAGTCTGGGTAATCCCTGGCGGCTTCTCCGCTGGCAGCAGACGAATGTTAATCCGTCGTTTCTGTCTCTTCAGCCTGTTAAATATGCACAAGAATGCCTTCTGCGACTGTACAGCGGCACGGTGCCTCGCAGAGCGCAGGTCAGTCTGCCGTTTGCTGCACGTTGGCCAAACGCGCAATAATGAAGATGATTCGTTTCAATGACAGAATTTTATCTGCAGAAGCCGACGTCACTTCAAGTGAATGCAAAACCCTCTGAATGTATTTCCAGAATGCTCGCCATCTTATCTCACTGGATACAGATTTATTATTATATTGTTTATGAATCTGTTGCAATATTTCTTATGTAGATCCGGCCAGTGAAAGCGGTTCTTACAGCAGGGTGACAACGCTAAGTCACTGCCTCTCAGTTAGCAGCAGCGTTGTCAGGCTGCAGTGTGAGCCCCTTTAGTTGGCCATTGAGTTTCATACCTAATAGACTTGATAGGAAAGGCAATGACCAACTGAAGAAGCACAGGCGTGTGTATATAACAGGCCGAAGGGGAGCAAATAAGCATCACAGGGATCTCAATCTTAGGGATACTCCCAGGGGCGTAACTAGAAATCACAGGGCCCCGTAGCACAATTTTGTATGGGGCCCCCGTGATTTCTAGTTATTCCCCTTGCAGAGCCCACTCGAGATCCCACCTGAGGGCGACCCTGCAGAGCCCACCCTAGACTCCCTATGGTGGGCTCTGCAGGGTCACCCTCACGTGGGCTGGTCGCACTCCTTACCTGTCGCCTCCT